TGAGCCCCAGATTGGGCTCAACATCAAGACTTACTGACGGACTGACCATCAGTAGCAATGTAACTTTGACTTTGACCTTGACACGCAGAAGGAGTCCAGCTTCGACTATAGCAGAAGAGAGTCCAGCTTGAACTAGAGTAGAAAAAAGTCCAGCTTCAAAGAATGAAGAGCCAAGACACTTGACCAAGAATAACGATGCAAATATAAAACATTGAAGAACCAATGCAGAGAGATGGTGGACTAAGAATGTTGCTTTGTCTGAAAGAAAGGTTATGTAAGAATAATTGTAACAGTGAGTGTTAACAGTGGTTGTCCAATAAACATCTTTGTCTAATTCAAGACACATACAATTGTCACTGATTTACAGTACTTATAAGTAGCAAAAATTGGCTCCACATTTTGTGTGCCAGAATCAAGGGCTCTTTTGGTAATATCATGACTTATGCTCAGTTCACTGAGATTCATACAGTAAGCATCCTTTCTGTTGAAAGCTCTACGTTTGTGCTTAAGATATAGAGCAGCAAAATAGAAGGGTTAATATCCAACAGCAAGAAGTTATATTATAGTTAGCATTGTTACTATTCATGAAGAGGAAGCATTTGAGAAGGTGGCAAATTGCAATGAAAGGGTAAGTCTGAGAAACGGGGCTGCAGTCAATCCAGGATGGTCCAGAGGGCTGCCTTGGCACTTGTTTTTGAGACACTGATGTGAAACAAATGTTCTTATATCTTTCTGCTTAGTTTATGATCTGCAAGGTGGAAGAGCCAGAGTCTTTTACATGTTTGCAATTCTTGAGGTTCAGCTGTTCAGATTTGCATTTGGAAATCTAAAGCTATACTTGAGCAGAAAGAACAGCTTCATATCACAACTAATAAAAAGGCTGACCTGGTAATTTTGTTATTGGGTCTAGACCACTGCTGAAAAATATTTCCAAAAGAAATGCCAACTGAAAAGTCACATAAGGTAAAGAAATTATATTGATAGTCTTATATAATTGTACAGCCATATACTTCAAGCTTTGTGTAGAATAGATTTGTGGGGACATACCACATAGCACGCTCTTTCCACCGGTCTTTTAGACAACACTCACTCCTTACTGAATATCGCATTGCCGGACGTTTCATTCATATTTATACAAGCACGGACTGCAAATTTCTGCTCCTCATTTTCACTAGCCAATCAGCGTTCTGCTCCTCAAATGCAAGTTTCACTCTGCCCACTGAGCATGGAATAAAAGGCAGAGCCCAAAACTTGCAAGACCAGATCAGAGAGTCGTTCAAGAAATTTTTGTTGTGTACTTCATTAGATCGATTGTCTGTACCCGTTTGGGATTCATCGGTTTGCAGTGTGCGTGTACGTTGTTGATCCATCCATCAAAGTTATGAGATCAGATAGATTGTCTGTTTCAAACCCCTCAGGCTTGAAACTCGTTGATTTATTTGATAGGAGTGATTTCGAAATTTCAGCACCACAGTGCCCCACTCATTATTCCCCTGTGGGAAATGGTGACGTGCTAGATGTTGTGGTTCACAATAATATCAGAGTGTCAGATGTCATCGTCTCTGATATTTTGGACTCAGATCACCTACCAATAGTATTCCACATACTGGATCACGTTAAAATTAGGAATCTTTCGGAACCCATTGAAAAATGTACAGATTGGGAGCGGTTTCAAAGCCTCGCTTCTGAATTAATATCACCTAAACTAGAAATTAATTCGGGGGTAGAAGCCGATAAAGCGGCACGCGACTTTGCAGCCTCTATTGCTTCGGCATATAGGCTGTCGACAAGTAAAGTTACACTTTCGGACATAAACAACGATCTTCCTGGTCTAGATCGTTTGATAAAATATAAACAGAGGCTACGAAAACTGTGGCAAGAAACCAGGGATCCAGCGTGTAAAACGGCAGTCAATTGGGTCACCAAATCAATC